CCCCACGCAATGTGAAGGAAGTTCAACGGTTGACGGGCCGCCTGGCAGCCCTCAACCGCTTTCTATCTAAATCGGCGGAGAAGTCTCTACCCTTCTTCCAGATCATGAGGAAGACGGCTGGCTTTCTATGGACTCCAGAATGCCAGGGGGCTTTCGACGAGCTCAAAAGATATCTATCTTCACCTCCTGTGCTCTCCAAACCCAAGGTAGGGGAGACCCTCTACCTCTACCTTGGGGTTAGCCCGGCGGCCATCAGATCTGTGCTCATCCGGGAGGAAGACGGCATCCAACATGCCATCTTCTACGTTAGCAAGACCCTAAGGGAGGCCGAGCTCAGGTACTCCCCTGTGGAAAAAACGGTGTTAGCCATCGTTTGGACTGTCAAGAAGTTGGCCCACTACTTTCAGGCTCACCCGGTTCAGGTCCTCACTCATCAACCCCTCGGCGCCCTCATGAGGAGCCCCACCAGCTCCTCCCCAATGGTGAAATGGGCTATCTTCTTGAGCCAGTACAACATTGACATCCGTCCAAGGCCTGCCATCAAGGGCCAAGCCCTGGCGGACTTTGTGACGGAATGTACCGCAAGGGCAGCCACGGACGGGGAGCCCTCGGCCACCTCGGACGACTGGTGGACCCTCTACACTGATGGCTCCTCCGCGACCAAAGCATGCGGGGGAGGGGTAGTCCTCATTACTCCCGAGGGCTTCAGGGCCTACTATGCAATCCGCTTCTCCTTCAAGGTCTCCAACAATGAGGCCGAATATGAGGCCCTCCTATGTGGCCTTCGGCTGGCTGCCAACATGAGGGCTCGGCAGATCCACATCAAATGCGACTCCAAGTTGGTCGTTGGCCAAATCTCCGAAGAATATGAGGCCAAGGAGGGGAGAATGAAACAGTACAAAGAAGCGGCCAAGGAGTTGCTTAAGGTATTTGAGGCACACTCTCTCACTCAAATACCGAGGGCTCAGAACTCCGAGGCCGACATCTTATCTAAGCTCTCGGCCGATTCCCCCGAGCACATCTCCAAAATTGCCAAAATCGAGGAACTCAGCCTCTCAAGCATCCATGCAAGCCCCGTTATGAACATACAACAACGTCAGGAGGATTGGATCTCAGATATCACCACCTTCATCTCCACAGGGCAGCTACCCGAGAATGAGGCCCGCGCTAAACTGGCAAAGCTGAGGGCTCCCAGCTACACCATCGAAGATGGAAGGCTCTACAAATGTTCTTACAATGGCACGCTACTTCGGTGCCTTCATCCAGATGAAGCCGAGGTCGCAATGGAGGAAGTGCACAGTGGCACTTGCTCAGCTCACCAGGGACCCTTCTCCATGTCCCGAAGGCTCATTCTCCAGGGCTACTTCTGGCCAACCATGGCCAGGGATTGTGCTGACCTTGCCCGGAGGTGCACCGCATGTCAACATTTCCAGAAAGCCCCCGGCAGGCCAGCGGTCAACTATGCCCCCATCAGCACATCTGTCCCTTTTTCTCGATGGGGGATAGACCTTGTGGGCCCTCTGCCAAGGGGTACCTCCAACAACAGATACATCATTGTGGCCGTCGACTATTTTACCAAGTGGGTGGAGGATGAACCCCTCGCCAGCATCACAGAGGCGAAATGCCGTCACTTCGTCCTCAAGAACATCCTCACAAGGTTTGGCGTCCCCCAGCAGATCATCTCCGACAATGGGACACAATTTGAGGCAGCCCCCTTCTGTGCCCTTCTGGAGGCATGGGGCATCAAACACACCTTCTCCTCCGTTGCCTACCCTCAAGGCAACGGGCAAGTAGAGAATGCCAACCGGACCTTGCTCGAGGGCCTAAAAAGAAGCTGGAGGCCGAAGGCGGTGGCTCGGTGGAAGAACTCCACAATATCCTTTGGGCCTACCGCACCACCCCTCGGCGAGCTACAGGTGAAACACCCTTCTCCCTCTGCTACGGTTTTGAAGCCAAAGCTCCTACGGAAGTCACCCTTCCTACCCGAAGGGTGATCCAATATGACCCCGAGGTCAACGACAGCAACATGGCCCTCGACCTCCACCTCATTTCAGAACGCCGGGAGCAGGCCTTCATCCGGGCAGAAAACTACCGAAGGCAAGTTAAAAGCTACATCGACGCCAAAGTTCGCACCCGAGAATTTCAAGTGGGGGACTATGTCCTCCGGAGGAGGGAAGCCAGCCAACCAACCGAGGGAGGAAAAATGGCACCAAAATTCGAAGGCCCCTACATCATAGCAGCCATCATCAAACCCGGGACCTACAAGCTCAAACGCCCCAATGGGAAAGAAGTCCCTAGGCACTGGAATGTACACCATTTAGTTAAATTTTATCAATAATGTAAGAGCGGCCAAGCCCTCATAACTAGTGAATGTAATATCCTATGGCCCAAGGCCTCCAATTTCGAAGAATGAAGATACATTCAAGACATCAAGCCCTCATACTGACTACAGGCCCCAGGCCTCACCACGAGAAGAACCCCCTCCGGCATCAAGTGCCGAGGGCGGACACCATCAACACCTACAACAAACAGCGAAAACACCACGTGTTTTCAGTCAAGACCCCTCGGTACCCAGCGCCGAGGGAGGTAACTCCTGTCACCAACAACAAGGAACGCCATGTGCTTCATTTCCCTTCGGCACCCAGTGCCGAGGGTACATTCCCACCTTCATCATAAAACAAAAAGAGAAAAAATGGGAACACAAAGTGTTCCTACAGAAGACCCTTCGGCACCCAGTGCCGAGGGTACATCTCCATCATCAAACATCGAAACGAAGAAAAAACACCAAAATGCTTCAAAGAAGACCCCTCGGCACCCAGTGCCAGGGATATGCTCTCCTATCAACTTCCAAACATCTGTTGGGAAACACCAAGTGTTTCATTTGAAGACCCCTCGGTACCAAGTACCGAGGGTAGACGCCTACATCAACTACGACAAAAGAGAACACCAAGTGTTCCTACAGAAGACCCCTCGGTACCAAGTACCGGGGGCTACACATCGAAACTAACACCAAGTGTTGTTTCTAAAAGCCGTACCCCACGAGGACGCATATACCGAAGGCGCCACCATCGGTGCCGGCGGCACGTAGTGCCCCCGGCCATTTGCAACTAGTGTGCAAATGAAAACCCTTCCTTGAAACGCTTTACGCGTCACTACCCCCAGGGTATGACAGGCATGAGAAATGCCCAGGATTCGACTTTCAAAAACGGAACGCTATCCGCGTCACTACCCCCAGGGTATGACAGGCATGAGAAATGCCCAGGATTCGACTTCCAAACCGAAACGCTCCCCGCGCCATCACCCCAAGGGTGTGGCAGGCCACGGACTATGTCTAGCGCCGAGGGGACGACTTTCAAAAATGAGGCGCTTTCCGCGCCATCCCCCAAGGGGAGGCAGGTTACGGACCACCATATCTTGTGCCCAGGAAACGTCCCTCGATCCCCTCGGAACTCGGAAGGTTAACCCGAGGGAGGAGAGCCATTGGTGTATTCTGATGGTCTCCTAATAGGCCCAGCCTTACCAAGAAACCAAGTTTCTTGATGCCTTCCCTTCACCACCAACCAAAAAAAAAAAAGAGGGGGTGAAGGGGAGTAGACTCAGCGAGAAATCAAAGAGTACACTCCAACAGATCACAACTAGCCGAGGGCTCCCCACGGGAACACCTCCGGTAACTGAAGGCTCCTATTTCCCGAAGGATACTACTCAAACAAATATCATCAGGAAACGGCTAAGTCCACTGCCTGGTCACCTCCGGTCACACAGGCACCGAAGGCTCCAGCAAGGGTCGAAATCTACACCTTTTAGAAATTATGCCGAGGGCACACACTAATCGTTGGCATTCTTCACAACAACAGGATTCCACACATATTTGGCCCTCGGCCAGAGACCCATACAACACAAGGGATCTACATCCGGAAGCTCAACACCAATTTACGCTTAGAAAATATTCTAAGTCCTAAATTAGTAGCCACCAGGCATCTCGCAAAGTAATGCAGAGTCAGATAGCACCTATCACCCGAAGGCTACCCAAAGAAACAACACTTGAAAAATTCCAAGTCCTAAAATTGGGCCCCCGGCTCAATCAACATTACAGCCAGGGGAATACAATAGCCGAAGGCTATGCGATACGACAACACTTGCAAACAAAAAAAAAATCTATGTCCTAAAGATGAGCCCCCGGCTCAGTCAGTATTGCAGCTAGAGGAATATGACAGTCGAAGGCCATACATCGAGGAGGAATGCCATCTCCCGAAGGCTCCCAAGGGAGATTTTACACTTAGAATATTTTCTAAGTCCTACATGCTTTTCCCCGGTCAACTACTCATACATCAAGGAGGGATGCCATCTCCCGAAGGCTCCCAAGGGAGATTTTACACTTAGAACATTTTTCTAAGTCCTGCATATTTTCCCCCCCGGTCAGCTACTCATACATCATGGAGGGATGCCACCTCCCGAAGGCTCCCAAGGGAAACTCTACACTTAGAAGATTTTCTAAGTCCTACATATTTCACCCTCATCTCAAGGGACTTAATTGCCGAAGGCTACCTATCAATCGAGGGCTACAGCACACAAGGAATCAACACTCAAGAAAATTTCCTAAGTCCTAAAGAATTAGCCCCGGGCCTATTCAATATTTCAGTTGGGGCTCCACAGTAGCCGAAGGCTACATGACATACTACACTTGCAAAAAATATCTGAGTCCTGTGCATGGGGCCCTCGGTCCAACATTCACACATCAGGAAGGGATGCCATATTCCGAAGGCTCTCAGGGGGAATCTACACTTAGAAATTTTTCTAAGTCCTAGGACTTGGGTTACTGCAAACACCCGAAGGCCCTATGGTGTGCTACACTTAGAAAAAATTTCTAAGTCCTAATTGCTGCTGAACCCTCGGTTGCATATCCAGCAGAGGGAGCCCAACTACCGAAGGCTTCCAAGGGCAAGCTACAATCGAAAAATATTCTAAGTCCTAGACATACATTCAAAAATACCGAAGCACTCAAGGAAAACGAAGGCATACATTCAAGAAGAAAGGAATTGGAGAAAACAATTCATATATACAAAGCCCGAAGGCAATCATTCAATTACAACAACGAGGAGTAAATATAGTCATTACAATGTTAGGCCGAGGCTATTACAAAATTGTTCAGATTACAGAGTACATATCAAATGATGTCATTCCCGGGGGCCGCCTCCCCCGATGGCTTCGAGGTAACTTCTACATCGGCCTCAGGATCATCGCCCTCGACTTCCCTTCGGAGCTCGGAATCCTCCAGGTCGGGCCTCTCGACATCAGGGGGGAGAGGAACACGGATATCTGGCTGCAGGGGGGAGCCCGTACGCTGCCGGATCAAAGTCCTTCGGCTCAACCTTCAGATGGCGGGCCATCCTCCGGTAGATGAGGGCTTGAGTGAAGAACTCACCCCCATCATAATACTGCTTACCCTTCCGGGCCATCCACTCCTCCCCCGGGCCCTCGGACCATTCATCAACCGAGGCCTCAACAACCGAAGACAGCCATGCCTTGTGCCCCTCGGTCTTCCACCCCCCGTCAAGGAACCCGGAGATGGCCTCCTCCCGGGCTGTGGCGACAGCCTTCTCCTTGATGGCCTCGGCCTCCTCGGCTGCTCTCCTTGCGGCCTCCGCAGCGGCCGCCTCAGCTTCTGCCTTCTCCTCCCGGAGCCTCCCGGCCTCCGCCCTCACAAGCCGGAGGTCCTCCTCAAGCTGGGCCATCAGCTTCGTGGCCTGGGAGTCCCTAAGGATCAGCTCCTTCATCTTGGCGTCTTGCCCAGCTTTGTGGAGGCGCCATTCCTCCAGCCGTCGGAATTGCTCCCCGAGGGCAACGCAAGTCTGCAAAGATAAGCGGGTTGTCAGGGCCGAACGTGATTTCTTAGTTCAAAGTGGAAATCAGAAAGACAAACTACAGTGAACTCACCGTGAGGGAAGACCGGAGGATCCTGTCTTCAAGGGCTTGATCATCATCGGCCCCGAGGGCTGCCCTGTCGATATCGAGGGTTATACCTCTCAGGAGCGCCCTCGGGTCAGCTGTGCCATTCAACACGGCCGTGCCAGCCGGAAGGGAGGGCGTGAGGACCTCGAGAGATGGCTCCCGGACCCCCCTCGGCGCCTGCGCCATCGGCATCTCCAGAGGGTCATCCACAATCACCACCGGGGGGTCATCCTTCGCGGCATCCCCCTTCTTTAACTTTTTGGGGGCTTGGGGGGGGGGGGGGGGGCTCCTTTGCCGACGGCTTTCTCTTAGCCGCAGCAGCATCACCCTCGGGCTTTTTGGGGGGCGCACCGACGGGCTTTTGGCCACCAGCGTCCGGCCCCTTCGGATCCTTGGCCGGTTTGTTCTTGAATCGGGCGAGGCCTTTGACGTTCATCATACTTACTGGAACACCTGCAAAAAAAAAATGAAGGGTTAGGATCGAGGGGTCACTATTAAGTGGCATAAAGAATTAACAAAATAAATGAACAGACGTGCTAAGATATGAGGGTGATAATGCCCTCAGCTACTACCTCCGGAGTCTCCCTCAAACACTGGGAACTTCTCATCAGTTTCCCCCAGGAACCGGAGTCACTCCTTCAGAAACCCAAGGCTCCATATCAGGGCACCCCTCGGGAATTCCCCTCCAGCACTGCAAAACCGGGTAGCCCCCGGGGAGTGACTCATTGACGGATGGCCCCTGGCACACAGGTAATGGGAGCCCTCGGGTATCTTCATCACCAACTAATCAGCAAACAGTGGACCCCCCCGGTAACAACTTCACTGCTGCCCTCATCTGGCAGGCCCTCGATCCCTGGATTGAGGGGCTCCCCTTCGGCGCCACCAGGACATCAACAACAAGCCTTCGGCTAATCAACATAGGAGCCCTCAGAAGAGAGCCTTCGGCATTCCCGTCATTCTCCATTTTTTACCAAGGTTTGACATTTTCGATTCATCATTGGGGGAATTCGGTGCACTCTTTTTCCCTCATTAGGATTTTTTCCCAAATGGTTTTTCCTAATGAGGTTTTTAACGAGGCATCCCCCCAAAATGAAACGAAAAGCGTCAGCCTTCGGCCCACAACAGCAACGTAACTACTTTACTCCTTTTCACCACTTTACAAGTGCCTCAAGGAGTGGGGGACTGGAGGACCCCCTCGGGAAAATCATTAAATTACAAAATCTGTGAAATTCCAACAAACAACAAAGCAAGCCCTCAAGTCCCGACATGTGGGTAACTGAGGGACTGCCTTCGGCAGGGACATAAAAGCAACAACTCCTCACCAACTTCAGAGATCACGACGGGACAACATCAAAGGGCAAGCACAAATTACTCCTTTTCCCTCAAGTACCTTTCGGCAAAAGGAGTGAGGGACTCCTGATGGAGTATATGGCCCGGGAACCCCCGGCCCACAAACTCCTACTACTCCAGCGAAGGCCCAAAAGGCCCAACAGGCCCAAATCACAGCGCCCAGAGTACCAGGCAGTCCGCACTACGCACCAGGGGTGCCTTCGGCCCCCTGGCCGAAGGCTCCAAATTCTCACAGGACGGGTTTCTCAAGCAAATTAAGAGACTGAGAGAAAACGGCGAAAACAGTAGCCCTCGGCACTGTGAGCCCTCGGCACCAGGGTGCCATCGGGTGGAAGAGCCCTCTGCTACTGCTCTATAGCCGAAGGCATCTCACTCGACAAGATATCCGCCTCACATGCGTACAGATCACCGTACCCCGCACAGACGTCCCGTCCAACAGCCGCATTAAATGCGGTCACATGCGGCTGTCAGCGCCAACCAGTTGAGGTGACCCCTCGGCCAATGAGCGCTTGACACGTGTCCCTGCCCGGCATTTATTGCTACTATAAATAGCACCCCATTTCCCCATTTGTAACCACGCTGAAAACGCTCCACATTTATAATACATTCTCTCTCTCTACATTTACTCGCTCTGACTTCTCTCTAAGTTATTCCCCGCAATAACCCTTCGGATATATACCCTCGGGTAGACTATCCATCAGTCGGTCATCCTCACCTTAATTAAGCTTAAGCGCGTCCTATGCTTCTCGATTGAACTTTGACTAATTCCGGCGAACTTTGACCAACTCCGGCGAACTTGGACCAACTCCGGCGAACTTTGACCAACTCCGACGAAACTCCGGCGAAGCTTAAAAATACTTTAAATCAAGTTCCTAACAAGGTTTCATCATCACAAAACTCATATCAACACAAATAACCTATAAAAGGTTATTTTCCGGCAAACCGGTCGATTTGGCTTCTAAGTCCGTTTTTGGACTTAGAATCACTTTCCAACCCATTATTCCACACTTAAATCATGTAGAACAATACTAAAGGTCTTTCATATGATATATATCTTATATACTAGAAGAAAAACAAAGGAAAGTTTGTGATAAGGTCATTACCTTAATTTTCACACTTTTTCCTAGCTTTTTCCTTCTCCAACTTCCTCCCAACTTTCTTGTTTGAGCTCTGCTCCAATTTTGCTATGAAGGATGAAGTTGTAGAGGTTCTCTCCTCCTTTCCCTTGATGCTATCCGAACTAGTGAGGAGGGGGATGGGTAGGAATGCCCCTTTGTCTCTATTTGGGAAATGAGTGAAAGAGAGGAGGGCCACCATGATTTGTTTTGATGCCAAACATCTCAAATCAGTCCTCTCCCACCTCACCTCTCCTACCAGCCGGCTCAGGCCTTGAATAATGAGGCTAAATTCGTGGGTTGGCCCCCACCCATGTGGGAGGTCAACCCTTTTTGTCCAGAAGTGTACAATCGGTCCCGAAAGTTGTATTTTCCGGACTGTTTTAAGTATATTTTATTTTATCGGGTCAAATAAAATATAAAACTTGTTCCCAATCCTTATGGGACCCTAGAATCAATATGCATTCCCCAACCCTAATTTAGAAGTCTCCGAAATCCCTTGTTGGGCTGTTATCTGATAAATTTACCGATACCGATAATTTGGCCTTGTTTGACCAACCGGTCAACCCTGTGCCATTGCTATGGACCAATTTGGATATCCACCACCATATACGTATTTTCTAGGCCCAGATGAATCTAATGTGTGGTCCCGATAATATCAGGCGGTCCCCACTCCCGATGCGGGCCCCACGTGTATTTTACTATTCACGCGGAAAAAAATTAATACGAATTCACAACCTCGTAAATTCACTAAAAATTTCATAGGGTTTAATAAATTATTCGCTTAAAGATAAATACATTTGGGGACGGTGTTACAAGTTCACCCCCCCTTATTTGGGATTTCGTCCCCGAAATCCGCGTGTCTAATCGAAAAGGAAAGGGTACTGCTCCCTCATTGAGACTTCAGTCTCCCAGGTTTCTTCTTCGACTCGATCACTCCTCCAAAGGACCTTTACCATAGGGATCTCCTTGTTCCTCAGTTTCTTTACCTGTTGACCCACAATCTTTACCGGTTCCACCGCATATTGTAGGTCTTCACGTATCTCTACCGGTGGTTTCTCAAGGATATGAGACGGATCTCGCACGTATTTCTTGAGCATCGATACATGGAACACGTCGTGTATCTTCTCAAGTTCTGGCGTCAATTTGATACGGTAAGCCACGGCCCCTATTCTTTCAAGGATTTCAAATGGGCCAATGTATCGGGGGTTAAGCTTTCCTCTCGATATAAATCTGATGATACCTTTCCAAGGAGAAATCCTTAGAAAGACCTTATCACCGACCTCAAATTCCAATGGCCTGCGTCGTTTGTCAGCATAACTCTTTTGCCGATCTTGGGCAGCCTTGAGTCTCTCCTGAATGACCTTCACCTTAGCCTTGGTGATTTCGACAAGTTCAATCCCCTCGAGCTTGGCTTCGCCAACCTCGTCCCAACACAACGGGGTTCTACATTTCCTCCCATACAATGCCTCGTATGGAGGCATGCCAATACTCGTCTCATAACTGTTGTTATAGGCGAACTCGACCAGAGCTAAATGCTTGTCCCAACTCCCTTGGAACTCCAAAGCACATGCCCTAAGCATATCTTCCAGAATCTGTATCACCCTCTCGGATTGCCCATCCGTCTGTGGGTGAAAAGCCGTGCTAAACTTTAGCTTCGTACCCAAAGATGCTTGAAATTTTGGCCAAAATCGGGATGTGAAACGTGGGTCCCTATCCGAGACAATGGATATCGGAACTCCATGCAGTCTCACAATCTCCTCCGTGTATAGCTTTGCCAATCTTTCAAGAGGATAAGAAATGTTGATAGGCAAAAAGTGTGCACTCTTGGTGAGCCTATCAACCACTACCCATACTGCATCATAGTTGTTCACTGTTCGTGGTAGCCCCACCACGAAGTCCATGGTCACGTGCTCCCACTTCCATTCTGGAATGGTAAGTGGTTGCAAAAGTCCCGCCGGGTGCTGATGTTCCGCCTTGACTTGTTGGCAAGTAAGGCACCGACTCACGTACTCTGCGATGTCCCTCTTCATACCCGACCACCAGTAACTTTCCTTCAAGTCTCGGTACATTTTAGTACCTCCTGGATGCATGGCATACGCCGAAGAATGAGCCTCCTCCAGTATAGATTTTTGGAGCTCCTTATTCCTTGGTATGCATACACGGCCTTTAAACAATAAAAGACCGTCATCACGTACCCGAAAGTTCTCAACAGGTCCCTCAAGGATCCGTTCACGGATCTTCTGACATTCTTCATCAGTGGCCTGACATCTACTGATCTCACTCAGCAATGTAGGCCTAACCTCGAATCTAGCAATGAGGACCCCACTCGTGGACACCTCCACGTGTGCCCTTAATGAGCGTAGACACGCGAGTAACGTCCCCGATGTACTCTTCCTGCTCAGTGCATCGGCTACTACATTGGCCTTCCCGGGATGATAGTCGATGATCAAGTCATAGTCCTTGATCAACTCCATCCATCTCCTTTGTCTCATATTCAACTCTTTTTGAGTGAATACATACTTCAAGCTTTTATGATCGGTGAAAATGTGACACGTCTCCCCATAGAGATAATGCCGCCAAATCTTCAGTGCAAACACTACCGCTCCCAACTCTAGATCGTGGGTAGGGTAGTTTGCCTCGTGTTTCTTCAATTGCCTTGAAGCATAGGCAATCACCCGACCGTTTTGCATTAGAACACATCCAAGTCCTTGGATGCTAGCGTCACTGTATATGTCGTACCCTATCCCTTGTGTGGGTAGAGCGAGGACTGGTGCTTCTGTAAGCCATTTCTTTAGTTCGAGAAACCCTTTCTCACACTGGTCGTCCCATATGAACTTGACCTCTTTCCTTGTGAGCTTTGTAAATGGAGACGCCAATACAGAAAATTTTTCAACAAACTTACGATAATATCCAGCTAAGCCGAGGAAACTACGTATTTCTTTCACGTTTTTGGGTCTCTCCCAATTCATAATGGCTTCTATCTTGGCTTTATCCACCGCAATGCCCGAACCTGACACGACATGCCCGAGGAACCCGATCTCTTTGAGCCAAAACTCGCATTTAGAGAACTTGGCAAAGAGTTGTTTTTCCCTTAGCCGTTCAAGTACAAGTCTCAAATGATCTTCAAGCTCCTCCTCACTCTTGGAGTATATCAAAATATCGTCAATGAATACTATCACGAATTGATCTAAGTATTCACTGAACACACGGTTCATCATGTCCATGAATGCCGCCGGGGCGTTGGTTAGCCCGAACGACATAACTAGGAACTCGAAATGACCATACCTTGTGCGGAATGCACTCTTCGGTATGTCATCTTCCTTTATTTTCAGTTGGTGGTACCCCGACCTCAAGTCAATCTTCGAAAACACCGTCGCCCCTCGGAGCTGATCAAACAAGTCATCAATTCTAGGCAAGGGATACCTATTCTTGATCGTGACCTTGTTCAGTTGACGATAGTCAATGCACATTCGAAGTGTTCCATCTTTCTTTTTCACGAAAAGGACCGGTGCTCCCCACGGAGAGTGACTCGGCCTTATGAAACCGTTATCCAATAGCTCTTGCAGTTGGGTTTTCAACTCGTTAAGTTCAGCGGGTGCCATTCTGTATGGCGGTATAGAGATTGGTTTGGTGCCGGGCTCGACCTCGATCACGAACTCAATCTCCCTATCGGGTGGAAGTCCCGGCAAGTCTTTTAGGAAGACATCCGGATACTTGCACACAACTCTCACATCATTGATGTCTATCTCTTCTTTGGTTTTGTCCACCACATACGCTAGGTATGCGTGGCATCCCTTTCTCATCATATTCCTCGCCCTCACGGCGGATATGATACAACTGTTTGATTTGCCTCTATATCCCTCGAAGCGTAAGGTCAACCCTTCACTGCCTTCGAGTTCAAGAATCTTCGTGTAGCAATCAACCTTAGCATGATGTTTCTCAAGCCAATCCATCCCGAGGATTGCATCAAACTCGATCATACTCAGCGGTACGAAATCACACGTCAAGTTTTTTCCCTCCACCTCCACCTCACACGATGGATAGTGGCTATCTCTCTCGATATCATCCCCTAGAGGCGTGGACACCAATAGGGTTTGAGTCATCGGTACAAGTGGTCCGTTGAATCCGCTGGCGAATGCCTCACTCACAAAAGATCGTTGGGCCCCGGTATCAATAAGGATCCTTGCGTCTCTCCCGTTTATCTTTAGTATTCCTACATTCATAAGTAATGTATATCACACTATCTAATTAATAGGCTTGTTTCTTACGTCGTAGAGTATGTTGGTCGTGGTTCGGGTGGGGTCCGTTTGACACCCGTCCGAAAATTCCCGTTTTCTAACCCTTAGAACCGTTCTGGGACCGACCCCGGTGAAAGCCGGCTGCTTTTCACGAAAGTCGGCCGGTTTTCGACTGCGAGAACAATTCTAAGTATTTAATCACGAAAGCCGGGCGGCTTTTACGAAAGCCGGGCGGCTTTTACGAAAGCCGGGCGGTTTTCGTCGCTGTAGTTTTTATTCAGGGAATGGTTTCGAAGCCGGCCGGTTTATACGAAACCCGGCCGGGTTTCAGCAGCGCAGGAATTCCTAGGCCCGACGAAAGCCGGGCGGCTTTCGCCAAAGCCGGGCGGCTTTCAGCTGCGAGAAAATTCCCAGGTCAGGCATTTATGAAAGCCGGTCGGTCTTTACAAAAGCCGGCCGGTTTTTGGTTGCGAGGATTTTCCTGATTAAGTGTTGACGAAAGCCGGGCGGCTTTTGGTGGAAACCGGCCGGCATTCGTCGCCGCAGCATTTTCCCAATAATTCAAGACGAAAGCCGGGCGGCTTTCGTCAAATGCCGGGCGGCATTCGCCCAGGGCGGGGATTTTTCCTCCCCTTTTCCCAACAATCCCGACCAAACCGTCGGGGTTACAAATTTTGCACCTTACAAACACTCCTATTGCATACAACGGAGTAATATCATGAGTTTAAGATCTTACCCGCCACGGAGTCCAGGTTAGCACGTGCGTCCGCCTTCGTCATCGCATAAACTCTAGCTTGAGTTCTTCCTTGATTCACGGACGGCGCATTGCTCGTGCTCGGTCCCCCCTGGCCCACACTGGCATGAGATGCTCCGGCCCGGTTCCTACTTGCCGTGGTAGCGCCGCTTGGTCCTGACCCCCCGGTTCCCACCAAGTTGAGGGCAGTTTGGCTTAATATGCCCTGTACTCCTGCATTGATAGCACCGTGGTGGATCACGACACTTACCGGTGTGGTTCCTGTTGCAATTCCTGCATCTGGGCGTCGTTGGGGCTTGTGAGCCCGAGTAGTGCCCGCTCGTGGCCGGGTTTCCCTTGGATGGTGCTGCCGGTGCCCTGAACGATCCACCTCCCCCATGGTTCCCCTTCTTGTTGGGACCTTGGGGGCCATGGCTTTCCCATTTTCTTTTCTTAGCCTCTTCGGCATCTCTCTTTTTCCTCTCCTCCCATTGTTTTTCTCCTTTCAACCCTTGGGCGACCACTTGGCTGAAAGTCATGTTGGGAAATTGAGTTGCCCTATCGCGTATCTCCAAATCCAAGGCCTCCCAAAAACGATGCACCATTCGGTTTTCATCACAAGCATACTCCGGTATGTGATCAGCAAGGTCTCTGAACTTGTTCTCAAGTTCTTTCACCGTCATGTTACCACCTTGGGTTAGGAGAGTGTATTCCCTCACCTTGGCGTTTACTTCGAAGTCAGAGTAGTACTGGGCAAAGAATTCTTGTCGGAAATCCTCCCATGTAACAGTGCCGCCATACTTACCCTTGGTTCCATCCCACCATTTGGATGCCAACCCTTCGAGTAACCTTACCGCGATTCTCAGTTTAAAATCGGGGGTGAGCTGCATGTCAAGGGCTGCCTCGTTCAGCCTCTTGATCCACTGCGCGGCAACCGAGATGTCTCCCGTCCCATCGAACGGTTTGCACCCTAAGTCCCTCGCCTCTTTGATGTATTTGGAGATCCTTATGGCTGGACCTCCATCGCCCCGACTTCCATGCGCTTCCACATGGGTTCTCGAATCGCAATAGCTCCTCCCTCTTGAAGCCCCGCCCGCAGGTTGCCCTGCACGGTGCCTTCGGCGTGCCCTCCTTTCTTCGCGCTCCCGATGATACTGTTGGAGCAGCGCTTCAATCCTGGCCAAGGAGCCACTTTCCTCCTCATCACTCACATCATCATCATTCCCTTCGTAAGGGGTCTCAACTGGCTCAGTCCCCGGCTGGTAGGTTGAGTCCTCATAGGACCAATAGGTCTCACTTTCGGTATCGACGTGGCCATCGCTCACGGTTTGACATTGGCCTCCACGGCCCCTTCCTCTTGATCCCCTAGAGGACCCCCGGCTACCGCGCTCGGACCCACCCGGTGCACGGCCCAACGGGTTCCTTCTAGTGATCCTTCCAACGGGTTCCATTTCTGAAAAAAATTAGAATGATTCATTAGACTCGCATCGAATGTCAATCGACGGATAGGTACTTAAAGACATCCTTTGGCTCAAATCACCGCCATACCAATTGTTAAGGGTACCATCTTAACAATTAGAGGCATTGCAACTCAAGTACCAAAAGTTCTTAAAGTACAAAACCTTATGCTCATGGTTTTCAAATTCATTTTCAAAAAGAAATTTTGAAGCTTCATTATGATGTTTACGGACTAAGGCTCTGATACCAATTAAATTGTCACGCCCCGGACCTAGCCGGACACGTCAACAACCCGCCGCACAGTACGAATAGTCAACCGCAGTCCAACTCATCCATACTATACAAGGCGTCATGAATATCATTCACACATAGTACATCCATAAACAAACATAATGTAAATCATTCATTTAAAACAGCGGAAACAACATTACAAGTGTACAAGCCACACTTGGCAAACATGGGTATACAAACCCCCGAAATGTATATTCAGAAAATAATATCCATGAACATTATTCATATTGTTTTCAAAACAAGAACGGAAGAAGCACGAACCAAGTCTTCTTCTTAGAAACTTCCCGAAACAGCGGCTGATGGTAGCAACCTTCAAGTTCTACCTGAAACTGTGAGGTGGCCTCCCCCCGTGAAGGGGAGGTCAGTACTTGGAAGCATTTGACAAGTACAATGACAACTATACTAAGTATAATCGAAGTTTAAATCTCTGAGGCCCTCAATCTAGAGCATTATTACATTATAGTTAATCCGTTCATTTAGTATCAATTCATCATTATTTACTACGGTCTAGAGCCCAGCTCATAATCACCGTTATCTACTACGGTCTAGAGCCCCGCTCATAATCACCGTCATCTACCACGGTCTAGAGCCCAGCTCATAATCACCGTCATCTACCACGGTCTAGAACCCAGCTCATAATCACCGTCATCTACCACGGTCTAGAGCCCAGCTCATAATCACCGTTATCTACATCGGTCCCGAGCCCGGCTCATAATCACCGATTCTTTATAATTCTCATTCTTAGGATCTAATTCATCCATTTCTCAACTAACATTTCCAACTAATATTTCAATGCTAGTTATTTATTTATTTCAATATAATTCTTCCTTCATGCATGATTGACCTTAATATCAAGTATCACTTTCATACTTTCATGGCTTCTCCTCATGGTATCAAAGTATACTATCTCAAATGAAATTCATGGTTGGTACAACCATCATACACACATATTCATAACATCTAAACATACACAATTTATTCATAAGTTTGTGTATCATGCATACTATACTTATAATCAATAGTAGTTTTATTTAGGCATTACTAACCATTAACAACCCATGCACATCACATTTGTATTCACTTAGGAAATCCCATGAAATTAACCCAAAGATTATAAGTAACATAATCGGTCATCCTCACCTTAATTAAGCTTAAGCGCGTCCTATGCTTCTCGATTGAACTTTGACTAATTCCGGCGAACTTTGACCAACTCCGGCGAACTTGGACCAACTCCGGCGAACTTTGACCAACTCCGACGAAACTCCGGCGAAGCTTAAAAATACTTTAAATCAAGTTCCTAACAAGGTTTCATCATCACAAAACCCATATCAACACAAATAACCTATAAAAGGTTATTTTCCGGCAAACCGGTCGATTTGGCTTCTAAGTCCGTTTTTGGACTTAGAATCACTTTCCAACCCATTATTCCACACTTAAATCATGTAGAACAATACTAAAGGTCTTTCATATGATATATATCTTATATACTAGAAGAAAAACAAAGGAAAGTTTGTGATAAGGTCATTACCTTAATTTTCACACTTTTTCCTAGCTTTTTCCTTCTCTAACTTCCTCCCAACTTTCTTATTTGAGCTCTGCTCCAATTTTGCTATGAAGGATGAAGTTGTAGAGGTTCTCTCCTCCTTTCCCTTGATGCTATCCGAACTAGTGAGGAGGGGGATGGGTAGGAATGCCCCTTTGTCTCTATTTGGGAAATGAGTGAAAGAGAGGAGGGCCACCATGATTTGTTTTGATGCCAAACATCTCAAATCAGTCCTCTCCCACCTCACCTCTCCTACCAGCCGGCTAAGGCCTTGAATAATGAGGCTAAATTCGTGGGTTGGCCCCCACCCATGTGGGAGGTCAACCCTTTTTGTCCAGAAGTGTACAATCGGTCCCGAAAGTTGTATTTTCCAGATTGTTTTAAGTATATTTTATTTTATCGGGTCAAATAAAATATAACATTTGTTCCCAATCCTTATGGGACCCTAGAATCAATATGCATTCCCCAACCCTAATTTAGAAGTCTCCGAAATCCCTTTTTGGGCTGTTATCTGATAAATTTGCCGATACCGATAATTTGGCCTTGTTTGACCAACCGGTCAACCCTGTGCCATTGCTATGGACCAATTTGGATATCCACCACCATATACGTATTTTCTAGGCCCAGATGAATCTAATATGTGGTCCCGATAATATCGGGCGGTCCCCACTCCCGATGCGGGCCCCACGTGTATTTTAGTATTCACGTGAAAAAAATTAATACGAATTCACAACCTCGTAAATTCACTAAAAATTTCATAGGGTTTAATAAATTATTCGCTTAAAGATAAATACATTTGGGGACGGTGTTACACCAGCAACACCAGTAACGACGACCTTTCAACTCCAGACTGCAATCACACGATTGGAACTCAGGGAGGGCGATGGTGGGTTTGGACGGTGATCTGTGGACAGAGGTGAGGTAGAGCAAAGAACGTAACGCGAGTAATGATCGGGCCTATTATTCTGAAGCTGCGGTTTCAGATAGAGTGCGGAGGAGGGTTTTAATTCTTTTTAACCCAAAACGGTACCGTTTTGGGATCTGCACACCATGAGAATAATGTACCGATCCCGCGGTATAATTTTATATCTCACACATGCTATATGCTTGTAGTTTGTTCATCCGATTTGTCAAACTTTCCTTGTTTTTATTTATCCCAAAAACTTTATCACATTCCATTAAAATAATAAATTTTGTGATTCTGTTCATTTTTTTCTCTTCTGTATAAAACTCAATCACACAATTTTTACTATTCTAATTACACAAAAAACACAACTTGGCAAAGTTGAGTTGGACAGAGTTAGTATTATAATTCGTATTTCAATATAGTGCCTCACATTACAACTTAAAACTTTGGGAGAATTTGATTTTGCACCCTATGTTTCGGGTGATATTTGACTTTATACCCTATGTTCAAAATAATTAATGTATGCACATTATAAAATCATTTAACATTGCATAAAGTGACGGATTTAGAATTTAATTTTGGGGTGTTCAATAAGTACATATTTACAAATTTAAACAGTACCCGTTATATTAAATTCACATTCAAAAATATGGGTTTCAGGGGAACATTTTGGAATAAGAGTGGCTCTGCCACTGTTTGCACCTCACTCCTTCACACTAATAATTTTAAAAAAGATGTAAAATCATATATCACCTAAAATATGAGACACAAAATCAAATTCCAGTTGAATTGTGGCCTGGCCGGGTTGACCAGTTGTGGACTGTTTAAATTTTTGGCATTTGGAATGACAATTGTAAGATAGATTTGGGGAATAATTACTTGACATTCTCTTCAAGTACAAGGAATAAACTCATACTAAGGTAGTAGTAATTAGTAAACCAAAAACAAAACAAAAAGCATATTGTAAATGAGTGTGTGTAAATATACGAAGTATGATATACTCCCTACGTCCCTAAATGTTTGTCATACTTTGACTTCATAAGTTTTAAGGATATGAATGTGACTTTACACTGTAGCGATACTATTTCGCACTGTTTGACACTGTTTTGCACTGTTTGCTATAGATTTGTTTATCAAATATGGAAGTTAAAAGAATAGGACAAACATTTTGGGACATCCGTTTTGGGAAAGTAAGACAAATATTTAGGGACGGAGGTAGTAATCGAGTATACGAAGTACTCCGTATATA